CGCCTAGAGGCACAAAATAATACTGGTATTTTTTTTACATCATAAATTGTTTTAAATTCAAGGGAGATAAATCTAAAATGGAAACAGCACAAAAGCAGGTTTCAGCTTGAATCGCTCAGCATTGCACCTATCCATTCAATCACCAAGATATAATGAAAAGATCTCAATTACTTTTTTCTGTCTGCAAACACCTAGCTACCATATTAAAGATTCAGAATCTGTTGATGAACCCTCAAATCCTCATTACTACCAACAATCACATAGGCTTTATAGCTTTACTGAAGAGTTTTAAATTCTTTATCAAAATGATGTTTTAAAACCACCAGATGTAGTTCAGGACAAGCAATAAATACATTACAAGTTTGTAAAAGAAAAACAAATCTGGAGAATAATGAGAGACAGAAATAAATAAAATGCAGACAAAACATTCCCATATGATGAGGTCAAAACTCATCATAATTGTCAATTTCTTGACAATCTTAGTTCAGCTGTTATCTGCATATGTAAGTCATTTTACAGTCCAAGACATGTACGAATCCTAAGTAAGCACTTTGTCCCTAACTTTGCCTTGTTACAACATAGGTAATCCTCATATCGGGATTGTCACCATTCCCGGAATTCTTAAGTCATCTCTTCAAGAAATCTATCACCTATTAAATATAACCATAGCATGTATTTTTTAATGGCAACAGTCCTAGGCTGTTTATTCTTTATTTCTAACTTATCATTTTGGCTTGAGGTTTTGTTGGATGAAATTAACGAAATGTACATAAATGACAAAAATCTCCTAGTAAACATTTTAACTGTTGTTTACCTTACTGTCTCTGTTTGTGTTAATGTGTATCTGAATCTATTTCAGTTAAGTACATATTTTGCTTTTTATTTTTTTGGAACTTTGGTATTTGTGTGAGAAGAATAACATACAGATTCTGTGTACTTTAAACTCCATGGTGAGGTTTCCATGAGTTCAAAGTGAAGGACTATAGAGAATGATGTCACTAAAATCTTAAAACAGCATGTAGTATTTTGACTAACTCAACTGACCTTATGTTTTATGTGCTTAACCACCTGTCTTTATTGCAGTTTCAAAAGAATGACTAATTCCTTCTGTATGTAAACTTTAAATAACCATTAAACAAACAATTTCCTAACGAACCAGAATTGTTTTCGTACATGTTAACAGAATCAACATCTGTATCAATTCTAAAGCTAAAAGAAAGGTACTGAACTTTGCATAATTTTTTGTATTTAAACTTAATCATAAAGAAATGAAATTGGAATTTTGAAATTGAATGTTTTTCAAACAACTTCACATCACTGAACCTTGTAGTTTTGCCTGGATTATGATTCAGTAATAATTTCAATTTGTAATTTTAAAATATTTTTTTTTCCTAAACTTCAAAAGAAAATTTGGCTTTTCCATGTCTGGGGAAAAGTCCCTCAACATATTTTTCATTTTTAATAGAAAATACCAAAAAGTGCTGTATAACTGTCTTGTAATATGCCCATCTTCCTAGGAGTCCAAAGTTATGTGTTGATCAGACTTATCAGTAGTAACAGCAATTACAAAATAATTCTAACTGAGTATAAAAGCAACATGGGAAATTTTATGTTGTTTTCAAGCACCTGTTTGTTTGTTTTCAATATCATTGATCCGTGTATGTTTATACATCTAAATCAGGTTTTTTTTTTTTAAATTTGTATGCTTTGTAAGGCAGCAGTGTGAATTCAACCTCTGAAACAGGTTCTCCATGTTGGTACAGATGAATAAAGAATGTATAAAAACAGGAAGACATAAAGGTAATGAACAAATACATACTTAACAAATCTCTAAGATTCAGGACAGATATAAAACAGAAATAAATTTTGACAGTACGTATATATGTATTGTAAACAAGATACTGAACACATTAACATCATTATAACTATTCAGTTTTTTTTTAAACATTTTAGTGAAAACTTGTTCAGCAGAAACAAAATCATATTCAACTTAATATCAACAAATAAATGTTGAAAGAAAATATTGGGAAAAAAATCTATAACTGACCATTTCATAGTGCTTTTAACAGTAATTAAAACAAAATCATCTATTATTAAGAGTGTACTTTCATACAATTTCAGTTCAAAAAATTGATTCATGAACCAAAAGCACACATACAAGGTACAAGTTCAGAACTTGCTCCAGCTATAATCCTCTCATAACACAATCTACCTAAATTTTGCTGAACATATGGCTGTATACTGCAGTTTTACTTTTGATTCTTATGAAAAAGTCTATAACCAAAATATTTACTTAAAAACCATAAATTTTCGTTGCAATTTTTAATTTGTTGATTTCATGAGTACTCTATATCAACAAAGCCATTTGTCCTGAATTAAAAGATTTGACATAAGTTTTTATTTAGTATCAGCAGATTTCACGAGCTCTATTTATCTACAAAGCAATCAATTTAAAAAAAAAAACACAAAAACTGAGCCCATAAAAAATATTAATTAACAGTAGCTGTTTCCTGAAAAGATTACATATAATTTCCATACATTACAATTACCAAAACATTTGAATTAGAACATGTTCATAGTACTAAAAAATTTTTAAAAATTTAATTTCCCAACATTATAAAAAAGATTTTAGCACTATATCCTCAATACACATGCAATCATCACTTTGTGAACCTCATGAAATATTTCCTAAACAACACACAGACATATATAACAGCTTCAGCTGTGAACCTCACGACGTGTCATGGGGAGATAACTCAACATCAACTCATATTGGTTTTGGTGCAATAGTTCTTATAATGGGGATGGGGATTCTATTTACAAAACAGCAGATTTCAAATGGTCAATGTACATTTTTGTAATGTACAAGATTGTAAATTCCTAAAGGTACAGTATGTATATAATATATATATATATTGTGTATGTATATATAATCATGTATATATATATAATTAATAATATCACAACAGCATTATCAATTCTTGTCAATATTGATGATGACACGGTACACATTTGTACATCTTTCAACAATCAACAGACGATTCTCTATCCATGATGACTGACTTTCTTGTTATCACATGATCAGTCACATGTTCAGTCACATGATCAATGATTCGACACACATACTCACAGATATTTATATGAATGTTTGTTATCACATTTTTTACAGCATACTCAACAAACTGGATGCTCACGATCAAATCTTGTCAGTTGACTGAACGTATATATACTCACATTCAAATCCTGGTAATTGACTGAACGTATATATACTCACAATCAAATCCCCTCCATTGACTGCAGGTATATATACTCACAATCAAATCCCCTCCATTGACTGCAGGTATATATACTCACAATCAAATCCCCTCCATTGACTGCAGGTATATATACTCACAATCAAATCCTGGTAATTGACTGAAGGTATATATACTCGCAATCAAATCCTGGTTACTGACTGCAGGTATATATACTCACAATCAAATCCTGGTAACTGACTGAAGGTATATATACTCGCAATCAAATCCTGGTAATTGACTGAAGGTATATATACTCACAATCAAATCCTGGTAATTGACTGAAGGTATACATACAATGTGTCTCCGAATTATCTGACTTCTTCCTTGGATGTACAAATCTCACTCCATAAACGGGTAAAAATCAAAACAAACAGATCATCTTGTCATTAAAAAGGCAATCAATTGTATCAGTAAATCATGTATTAAAATCCTGTTACCAGTAAAATTTAATTTAACCTTCCTTTCACCAAGGCACCCAGGGTTTGATTCCCGAAACAGATGTGAAAAGGTTTAGGATCGCCTTCATAGCCCAAGGGTTTTCTCTGGGTTGTCAGGTTTCCACACAAAGTAAGATCAAAACCCTTAACCCAACAAGAGAGATTAATGATAAATTGGAAATATTACTTTCAAAATAAATTTTCATTTCAATTTCAATCTGGTAATTACATTAGCTTTGTTCAGTGGAGCAGTACACTAAAATTTAACATCCAATATACACCTACACATATACACAGAGTACATGGTGTACTTTATTATACAGCATATACATCACTATATTAGTCTCCTAACTTCACATATTAAAACCTGTTGTCATTAAAATGATTGCAATCATCTTTAATCAAGAAAAATACGTGGGAATAACTTTTATCATCAAATAACAGGTTATCAAAATAAACTGCTTCTCCATGTATATATGTAGTCACTTCATAAATAGATCAATTTTCTTGGTAAACTCACCATAACGTACGAAACATCATTTAAAACATCTTCTATAATTTGATCTAGTATAGAGTAAAATCAAATAAAAAACCCAGCCAATCAAATGTTATGTTTCAAATAGTGTTGCCATTAAGCCAATAAATATGCTTGTTATAACTGAATTAGATCATCTGTAGGGTTTGATTTTTTATCTTTCAAAAGAGAATTGATTTTAACCATTGTCCTGCACTAACACCCTAGACAGCTGACCCACCGGTATCTGTGAGTTTCCAGTTACAGTTTATCTCCATATAATACTTGTAGGAATAAGTTAATACTGCAAACTCCATATCAACATGACCCCTATATATAATTCCAGTTAAAAAAAGTGACAATCTACGATCACTTTCACTTCAACATTGAATATGTTAGATCAGAAGGAGAAACATTTCTTTAAATTTCTATTTTTCTCGTATAAACCACGATTTTCAGTTGTAACTCATTAATTTCAGGTTCTTGAGAACAATTCTCGATGGAAATGGAGCAGGTCGGTGTGACTTCAACCTATTAAGTGTTCTGTCACTATACTGACTGTTGGCTCAGTTGTTGGAGACCCGGGTCTGATTCAATGTTAGCAGGAATGTCTTTTACACTGTTTATTACATCAATACGGAATCTTTGTGGAAAGCATTATAATCTACCGGAAGTACTTTTTGGTGAAAAGATAGTTTTACAAAGAAAGGAATATCTTTCAAAACAAAAAGATATCACAATTGAATCCTTTTCTCAACATGGTCAACAGGCTTAATATTATCACTGGCTTTCTAAAAGTAAAATATAAAGTTTTACAAAAACATATTACAATTATCTATGATTACAATAATGAGGAAACATCTTGCTGGAAAAGTTCCAGGATTTTTCTACGAAGAAAGTCTCTATAGATGTGGGTCATGTGATTCTGCAGATTTACATATCATACTGAAAATTTTTCCTTCAAACACTGGGACAAAAATTTCAAAATAATATTTGGTATATGACTGCAGCAGCAATCTGACCACTTGTGTGATATATAATTCATGTGATTTAACAGGAGTCGTGTACCCTTTGAACCTCATTGTTTGTTAGAGACAAGGTAGTGTGAGGGTCACACCAAGGTTATTTCGATCTGAGCCATTGAAGAGTCTGTACATTTCCTTCACATTTTGTTTCCTTCATAACAATGATGAAATCTGGCCAATAAACCTTTGACTCGTGTGTCAATTTTTGTAGGAGTCAAGCTTTTCCACGAACTCCAGTTTTCCAGAATTCATAGCATTATCTGATATGAGCAGTTGTGCCCAAAAAAAGTGATATTTAATACCTTTTCCGCTAAGATTTCCACATTGTTTTCCTTTACGATTATTTCTTTAACCAAGGGTTCTAAAGTAAGACAATACCCATAGAACCACTTTGGTGACATAATTCATTCTTTGACAAGTGGTCAATCTGCACTTCACACTTAACTGGAAATGATGCACTTTTTTCTTTTAAAAAAGATGAAAGACTTCAATGGGCATGGCGTTCATTTCCAAGTAGTGGTTGTCAGCACAAAAAAAACACATCTTTGGATGATAAAGAATTCGAAACTTTCCGTCCAAGTAGTTGAAAAACAACCACAACTGAGCTGTTACAGAGATGTGCACAAGCGGATGGTATCAAGGCATGAACCGGTTTTCTGGAGGGAGTTATCTGTCCCTGATAGACAGTGTTCGACTGTTGTAATAATTGTTATCAGCCAGCTGTAAAGCGATGCCGTAACAAGTCTTCCGAACTTGGTCGTTCAAGTGGATTTCGTCTAAATGTCAAACGTAGAAATTCACGACTGAATTCTGATGTTCTTTGAGGAAGTTCAAATTCTGGTCGCTCTGCGGTGGCGATTTTATAAATGGCTGCCATGGATTCCAACTCTGACCATGGTGGTTTTCCTGATATCATTTCTACCACTGTACAGCCCAGGCTCCTGAAAAGTGAGAAAAACAATTAAAATGATATTAATATGGTCCTGTCCCAAAGGTATGGAGTGCGAGATGGTGATATAAACTTGATGTACACAAATTAGGTTTTACATATAATTTAGTTTACACTATCTTTACATAAACAAATTATCTATCACACTATATGTACATTGCTATGAACTGATAGCAACATTTCTTTGACTTTTGAATAACAAAATAGGACCAGGGACCATATACTTCAAATTATCTAACAGTCCATACTTTTGTTTGGCATGTGTTCTACTTAAGATGACCTTCATACTTAAAATCTTATCTTAACATTCAATAATTTTGAAAGGATGAAATTATTTTCTTCTGGCTGATCATACTGATATTTTGCCACACAATCTAACTTACGTACCACACATCAGCCTTTCGGCCATATCCCTCTCCATTTATCACTTCTGGTGCCATATAGTGAGGTGTTCCCACAAACGACTTGAAACCAGTAGCACTACATATGGTGTGGAGCCGCTTACTGGCCCCAAAATCTGCTAATTTGATATTTCCTTGCAAATCTCGTAATACATTGGCAGCTAAGAAAACAAAATGAAAATTGTTTGATTCCACAAAGATTCTGCAAGATAAGCTAAGGAAAAATTCTTAAAAATTGATTTGTCTATGCATGGCAGGATTCATATCTGACAATATTTCAACACAGAAACATATTGTAATCATCATCTCATACAATATTTGCTGTGTAATTTCAACGTGAAAAGGTTAATTAAAGTTCTTCGTTTCAAAATCAAACAATTTGAGCATTTAATTACACTTGATAAATCCTAATACAGAGCTATATAAATCCATGAAGCTTAAGAGCGAACAAATTAGCACAAGAGATCCAAGAGGGCATCAATCATTGTTTGATCTAATTTTGTTCTTTATCATACACTGAATAAAACTTCAAAATTCCTTCAAGAAATAGCACCAATGATCTTTAGGTGTCATATCAAAGATGGCCATCTGTCTGCAATTTTCATTTCTGACCAGTCCCAAATCAAAAGGGCACAACTAAGTACCAAAGGGAACCTACATGTGAAGTTTAAGAAATATTCATCAGCTTCTTCTCCATAAAAAGCAACAACAAACTTTCATAAATAAAATCCAAGATGGCCATCTGCCAGCCATTTTGAATTTCTGATCAATACCAAAATTATGAACTCTGTAATAATTAGCCTAGAAGGTAATGACCTTCAATCCCTATAATAATTCCCTACTGACCTTTGAACTCTGTAATAGTTAACCTTGTTGATACTAACCTTTAATATCTCTATGTACAATGACATTTTTATGAAGGAAGGCAAGCCCCTCAAGCATCTGACGTGTATACTTCCGAGTCACGCTTTCCGTTAAAGGTCCATACTTGGACAGCTCATCTTTAATTGAACCCTGAAAATAAACAATAAACAACTGTGTTTCTTCCTTGTCATTACTAATGCTGGAATTTTTTCATCTCAGAAATTTTAAAAAAAGTTTTTCACACTCTATATCCAACAAAACTGAAAACATTTCTTCAAAGAATACTGACGACAAAGAATGATTTCAACTAATCAAATATTCATTTACTACATATTAAATCATTCCACAACCAGATAATTCTGTGATGTCCTCCTTATAGAGCACCAATCTATATCAAACATTTCCTTCATCATGTTTTCATTAGCTTTTCCAAATCTACCAGGATCGAAACAGCGATCAGAACCGATAACATCCATGTAGTGTAATTTTTCATCATTTACACAGATTCTGGTGGGCCAATTTCGTTCTTTCAATGAGGAATTCTTCATTCTTATAATTCAAACTTTTAAACATATACATTGTAGAATTTTTTTTCTTCCAATCTTTAACTTATATTTCAAATGGAACTCTTTCAAATATATTTCAGGAATGCTTTTCAACTCATGATACTATGAAATTGATCCAATCTAGATATTCCAGAACTTTATGCTTACTCCAGGCATGTATTCCATGAAGATGGAGAGAAGATTTTGATCTTGATGACAGCCGAAGTATGACACAATTCGCTCATGTTGAAAATTGCGTAATAACTGGATCTCATTTTCTAATGCTCGCACCTCCTGAAAAACAGATGCAGTTTATGGTAAAGAGACATAGTTTTTGATAACAATATATTTGTAACAGAGAAAATCATGAAAATGATGTTATCATGAATTTTCTGATAGTCAGTGTGCAATGTCAATTGATGTCAATTAGAAAACAGTATTAACATAGTTAAGTTAGCAAAAATGACTTTAGAAAAACATGTTTTTCTTTATATTGACCTTACACTTTTACAACAAATGCAAAACAAGCTAATTGCTTATATTAAGCTCTCTTGTGACTTGTATGAAAGTGTGAAAGATGTTTTAATGTGGGAAAACTTGGGTACCCGAGGAAAACCTACATGGTCCAACAGATGACCCCTATCTGTTTACATTCAGTTGGGGAATCCCATTTTTCTTTGAAAAGTAAATGAACTTTAAACTGTTTCATTATAAATAAACTTTAACGCAATGAACAGTCTATTTTTAATTTACATTTAAAACCTATCTAACAGATAGCAAAATTAAATCAGCTAATAAAATAGAATTCTCAGACTAGTGGTATCGACAAACCTTTGATAATTCTGCATTCATTTGTGTTAAGCTGACTTGTTTGACTGCAAGCTCTCGACCAGAGTCTTTGTCATAACATACAAACACCTCGCCAAAAGAACCTGACCCTAATTGATGACCTTTCTTCCAGTTACTAGGTGCTCGTGGAGCTAAAAATAGACAAGCAGAGCATTATTATTATCATAACAATAAAATGAACCTTTTTACTAAAGATGTCAATATTTGCATCTAAATGTTCAAGAACGTTTTCTATTTTTTATGATACTAAAGTCAAAATTTTCTTTACATAATATAATATTCATCTATCTTTTACTTATACTTACTGAATTACTTTTAAAACATCTTAAATACTTACACTTAGAAAATGATAAATCTGAATAATTATATATGGGACTATCCAAGTCATTTCCACGTTTGAGTCTCCCCTCAGGTGAGTCCATATCAGGGTCAGGGGGTAGGCCACTACTACTACTACTTGTGCTAAGTGTTCCTTCACTTCCCCGAGATATAGTGGACCGACTCTGAAAATTACTGGAACCAATGTCTGGCCTTCGACCTGACATATTCCCTGACCTCGGAAAGGTCATCCTGCCATCAAGGTCAGGAGCATGTGAAACATCAAATCCTCTTGGAAATGTCCCCGACTTCACAGGTTTATAATCAGTTACTGTAGAGAAGGAAAGTCATATTTCTTTAAATAAGAGCAAATCTTCAATGTTATTCATCTAGAACCAAAAATGAAATCACTACATAGATAGTCATGTTACCTGGATTTAATTCTACTAAATTTGTGGTCTGTAAAGTTATTGTTTAATTCAAATACCAAGCAGACAATTTTACAGAGAACGGAAATCCAGAAAACATTTGTTATAGTTGTATATCAGGACACCAGTTCACAGACATGCACAAAATTTAATACTTGTGAACAACCGAAACAGAGTCAATGCAAAACATTAATACCACAAAATTACACAACTATACAGTACATGTATCATGAAACTAAAAATAAATTGTCAAGGATTGTGTATAATACAAAAATCAAATTTAATAGTTTTTTTTATAATGCCTGGTTATGATCAAACCCTTTCAGAGTAGATATATATAGTTGATGCCAGGTGTATTTATTTGTATACAACTGATATACGACAGAGATTAAATACAAACAGATACAGGGACACTGCAAAGCTTTCAAAGGCATTCAATGGAAAATGAAATTTTGAAAGGTTATAATACAGATCACATCTACAGACTGTACAAAAGACACACAAGTGAATAGCACATCTTAATACTGTAGAATTAGATAGTGAATCATCATACAGATATTCGTCCTTCTACAGCTTGTCAGTGATGCTATTAACAACAATTTTTATACCCAAGGTGCCAATGAAGAAATTAAAAATTGATGAAAAGAAATGTTAAAATCTAGCCGGAGAGGTATTTTGATGAATTTCCTAATTTCCATGTATCTGATATTTTAAAAAGAACATCCAGTACATGTGTTTATTCTGAATTGTGCCAAACTGAACAGAGGTGGAGAACTTTTACTTGATCTGATCAACATTTTTCACACAAAAAATAAACAAAACATTATGATTTTGTGCTCACCACGGTCATCTTTAAATGAATCAGATGAAATACTTCGTCTGGAATGTGATCTCATTCTAAACGGATATGTATCGCCGCTGAAAAGGAGAATAGAACAAAGCATTAGAGAATTACAAAAGTGTATCATTAAAATATTACTTAACACCCCCTTACTGTATCAGTAATGGTTAAAATCATCAACTATGTGCTGAGCTTACAGGTTAGGAAACAATTTGAGAAAATTCACATTTCATTAGAACCAAATGTCTGACATTAATCTACACACTGCTATATCTATTTTGAGGGGTTAAGATTTTATAACTTTTCAAAAAATGCTATTTTGTTAGCAATTAATTTCATGGATTAAAAATACAAACAAAGTCCATGTGTACTAAATATTATTAACATTTTTTAACAGTTCCATCACTTCTTGGGCATAATCTGAATTTACAGATACATGAACAAAGTTTCCTTGAGAAAGAATGATTTTATGTGAGAAGACTTACTGATTGCTTAGGTAACTACTGTCGAGTGATGTATGACTATCTGAGTGAGTGAGGGAACCTTCTGGGCTGTTATACACGCCAACAGACTGAAACAGAACATCAGAAATTGTAAAAATGTTATCAAACAACATCTGTCCCATTTATAACCAACATATCTAAAATGTTCTGTAGACAATTCCAGCTTGTGTTTCCCAGCAAACATTTTTGCAGTGTACAGCATTATAGATGTTTGCTGTACTAATTCAAGGATGGAATTGATTTCATGTGAATGCCAACATAAGGGCAAATTTAATGTGTAATCTTTATCCAATAAGCATTCATATGCCTATGAATGCCAATTGAAGCAGTTAAATGCCTATATTTATCATTTTCAATCTCCATCTTGTTAAAAAGGCAGGCAACCTCAATCTATCTACATTACTTGCCACATTCCTGTATGTTGTTGGCAGTTCATGAGCTGATAATACACAAGTGACTTCGGTAAGAATACATCAAAGGAATGCCATACAGTGATATATATATTTCTTTGTGCAGTCTATTGTAGTTAACAGTTATGTTGTACATTCACATGATTTAATTGTATCATATACTTGTAAGTAGTATGTTAATTCTGTGATGTCTTCTGTCCTCAAAATCATTTCACTATATACAAGCCTATATCACATGTAGTCACTTTTTTGTACATTTGTGTTTTATTAAGATAACCGATATAAAATAAACTGAACTTGCATGTTCAAAAAGTAAATATAAATGCAAATTATTTATAATAATTTTTTCAATAACAAACTTGGCTATACTGTTTCACAAAATGAAAAATTTTCACAAAACATTACCTATTTACCCATTTATTGTATCTAGATATAGACATACAGAAATGTTATCATTTTGTACTTTTCAGGTGTGACTGTGAAATATTTTAAGTAAGATATTTAAGCTTGTGTAAATACATAAACTTGAGAAGATATCCTTAAGGACATATAATGAAAAGTTTGACTATTATATAATTTATTTACACAGCTGAAATTATCTAAAAATAGACATGACATATAGAAATGTTATCATTTTGTACTTTTCGACTCTGGCTGTCAAATATTAAAGTAGGATATTAAACCTGTATAAATTACATTTAACTTGAGAAGTTATGCTTAAGAACACCTGGAGGAAAAAAAGTAGACCATTTCTCTTCACATCTCTAAGCAAAGAGTTGTGTGAATGTTAACTTCAATCTAATATGAATGTGCTGATACACCTGGTAGGTTTCTATAAAGAATGACAGCTGAAAAAGAAACATGCACCCTCACACCTGTATCATAAGTAGTGTGAGTGACCTGAGTATACATAAAAAATACCACTCAAATTTGTAAATATTCCATATGTTAGTTTTTTTTCATTGATGTCTATGTATCTATATTCTCATGAAATTAACTCTGACAAAACAACACTGTACAGCTCCCAAGGTAAAAAGTGACACCAGATTTCACTGCGTGATTGCTAATATTTCTATATTTGACATGGCATCCCTGTACTTTATTTTGTGTGTGCTTTGTAAAGTTTAAATGTCTCTAAAACCACAATTTTTTTTTAGAAAGTCTACATTAAAATCTTTTGTTGAATTAATGAAATAAAAGAGTACTATGTTATGTCCAGTTATACAACACAAAGCCAAGGTCTGATAATAAGCCCACCCACATCTATTGAAATTCTTAGTAGAAATGCAGATAAAAGCTAAATCATTGCTGTGTTATGAGCCAACATTGCGTCTAAAGTAAAGAAAGGATACCCAATGTTTATTGCTTTGTTTGTTTGGTGTATTTATTGCCCCGTGAACAGCCGAGGTAATATTGAGGTGGCGTCTCCTTGTTATAATTCTTGGCTACCTCACTGAACAACATACTGGAGGCATGTCACATATCACACAGAGCAATTAGGGAAAAGTGTTTTTCCCAAAGGACACAACTGCACCAGTACAGAACACTTCTCAGCTTCCTGAGAAACAAAACCTACTACTGTTAGGAGCATCCAACCCTACAGCTCAGATTTCCACCTGAGGTTAAGTAAGTCAGTGCTCTCCTAAACCAGCTATTGTAGCACCTGTTTACTACAGGATAAATATTGTAGTATCAATACCTCAGTTGACAACTTTTAGTCTAGTTTTCAGTATACTATTGTTGACTTAATACACTGGTGAACATTTATTCCTGTAAGATGTGTCCTACCCTAAACGTATGATACTGGTACTGTAAATTTGCAGGTAAAGTACGCACTCAGGTATAGTGTGCAGGTACGTTAGAAAATGTCTGTAAGACATGAATGCCCCCGCCACCCATGTGAAATAATAGTGAAAGGTCCGAAAGAGATGATTTTGTTAATTTGTATGCAACTATGTACAACTTAAGTTTCATACTTAAGTTGACAAGTTGATTTAACGTACATGAATTTGGAATTTTGTTCTCTGGAAAAAATGAGGGAGTATATTAGTTCCTTATGCCTTAAAACCCACAAATACCAAATTATGTAGAAATAAGATGATGTTCCTCTTTTTTGAGTTATCTCCCCCTGGTGGCCATCTTTTTTTAGAATGCCGAGAAATTCAACACTGCATGAGGTCTTTCCATACTTGATATTTGTATGAAGTTTCATGAAAATTGCCTTCCGAATGAAGTTGTTAGGTGGTATATACTGATTTGGGATGCGACGCGACGGGACGGACGGGACGCAACGGGACAGGACGGGACGGGACGGACGGACATGGGCAACGCTATATGCCCCCAGCCATAAATGGCGGGGGCATAAAAAGTATATATAACATAAATATTGATTACTGGTTACCACAGTGCAACAGCTGATATTTTGATCCAGCGGTAATTAGGAAACCATAATGAGCATGACCCTGATGCATTTAATTATCTTATGTAAACAAATTCACGAAGCACCAAGCATGGAAGGATAAGCTAATTGGATAATTAACAGGTAACACTATGAGTATGAGGAGATTGATGACACCCAGCTTGGTTTGAACGTGTGCTATTGGTCAGAAAATTATGTTCTTTTAACAGTCTGAAAACGTTCAATCCTACTTTGTCAACATAAAAGCAGGTGATATGTTCAGTATTGCTATGTTAGTAGGAAATGGAGCATGTCCAAATGATACGAGTTTTCATGTCAATGGACCGTAACAGCATTTGTAATTACGTGAAATTAATTTCAATTTCAACCAATCTGTTTTCAATTCTAACTGAGCGAGTCCAGATTATATCGACAGAATAACAATTATATATCATTTCACATTTAAATGAACATAGTGCTCTGGTCAAAGTTGTTATTCAATTCAGTTGACCCAGAAACTGACAACATTACTCATACCGGATTGCCATGCATGGTTGATATTTAAACATCTTTTAATATACCCATTTCTACACATGACCAGACACATAAAGAATATCTACCCAAGAGATTTTTTACATCAATAAGACCGTCATCTCATTTCTTAACAGGAAAAAAATAAGGTCCACCAGTGCTTTCTGATCCTGATTTTATTTTATGTATTCTATACAAACCTCCTGACACTAGTGATGTTGGTCACATTTTAAAAGAGAGATCACATACAGTTTTTAAAATTCTTGGTCGTATGAATGTAGAGCAATTAATCCTATGTTGCATAAAGATTAGTCAAGATGAAATATGGATGTTAAGATCAACATGCATTCTGGCATGTTTTTTCTTCTTCTTCAAAAGTCTGCCTAGTACCTTTTTATCAAAGGTTATTGACAAAAACGATTCTATCTTAATGAAGTTTTTCAACATTTGTGTTGTCAGAGGTACACAGAACATGTTGACATACCTTATCCAAGTATAAGGTATTTTTGTCTGGTGTTTTATATGAGGTAAATGAATCATTCCATTTCACTTACAAAAACTTCAATTAAGAGAGAAAATGAAAATAAAAGGCTATGATAAAATCACTCAGCATAATTTTTATAAGACAGAAACATTTCTATTTGAACACTGCATTCTTAACTACTGGGAAAATGGTGTGCTGTGATATATTTGTTATTCAACAACGATGTTATAAGAAAAGTTGATGATCAGAGGAGATGATAAGATGATAAGAGGAGATGATAAGATGATCAGAGGAGATGATAAGATGATGATCAGAGGAGGTGGTAAGATGATGATCAGAGGAGGTGGTAAGATGATAAGAGGAGATGATAAGATGATCAGAGGAGATGGTAAGGTGATCATCAGAGGAGATGGTAAGGTGATCATCAGAGGAGATGGTAAGAAGATGATCAGAGGAGATGGTAAGATGATCAGAGGAGATGGTAAGATGATGATCAGAGGAGATGATAAGATGATGATCAGAGGAGATGGTAAGATGATCAGAGGAGATGGTAAGATGGTCAGAGGAGATGGTAAGATGATCAGAGGAGATGGTAAGATGGTCAGAGGAGATGGTAAGATGATCAGAGGAGATGGTAAGATGATCAGAGGAGATGGTAAGATGGTCAGAGGAGATGGTAAGATGATGATCAGAGGAGATGGTAAGATGATGATCAGAGGAGATGGTAAGATGATCAGAGGAGATGGTAAGATGGTCAGAGGAGATGGTAAGATGATCAGAGGAGATGGTAAGATGATCAGAGGAGATGGTAAGATGGTCAGAGGAGATGGTAAAATGATCAGAGGAGATGGTAAGATGATCAGAGGAGATGGTAAGATGATCAGAGGAGATGGTAAGATGGTCAGAGGAGATGGTAAGATGATGATCAGAGGAGATGGCAAGATGATCAGAGGAGATGGTAAGATGATCAGAGGAGATGGTAAGGTGATCATCAGAGGAGATGGTAAGATGATGTTCAGAGGAGATGGTAAGATGATGATCAGAGGAGATGGCAAGATGATGATCAGAGGAGATGGTAAGATGATGATCAGAGGAGATGGTAAGGTGATCAGAGGAGATGGTAAGATGATCAGAGGAGATGGTAAGGTGATCATCAGAGGAGATGGTAAGATGATCAGAGGAGATGGTAAGGTGATCATCAGAGGAGATGGTAAGGTGATCATCAGAGGAGATGGTAAGATGATGATCAGAGGAGATGGTAAGATGATGATCAGAGGAGATGGTAAGATGATCAGAGGAGATGGTAAGATGATCAGAGGAGATGGTAAGATGATGATCAGAGGAGATGGTAAGATGATGATCAGAGGAGATGGTAAGATGATATCAGAGGAGATGGCAAGATGATGATCAGAGGAGATGATAACATGATCATCAGAGGAGATGGCAAGATGATCAGAGGAGATGGTAAGATGATGATCAGAGGAGATGGTAAGATGATCATCAGAGGAGATGGCAAGATGATCAGAGGAGATGGTAAGATGATGATCAGAGGAGATGGTAAGATGATCAGAGGAGATGGTATCAGAGGAGATGGTAAGATGATCAGAGGAGATGGTAAGATGATCAGAGGAGAGGAAGATGGTAGAGGAGATGGAGGAGATGGTAAGATGATGATCAGAGGAGATGGTAAGATGGTCAGAGGAGATGGTAAGATGATCAGAGGAGATGGTAAGATGATCAGAGGAGATGGTAAGATGATGATCAGAGGAGATGGCAAGATGATCAGAGGAGATGGTAAGATGATGATCAGAGGAGATGATAACATGATCATCAGAGGAGATGGCAAGATGATCAGAGGAGATGGTAAGATGATGATCAGAGGAGATGGTAAGATGATGATCAGAGGAGATGGTAAGATGATCAGAGGAGATGGTAAGATGATCAGAGGAGATGGTAAGATGATGATCAGAGGAGATGGTAAGATGATCAGAGGAGATGGTAAGGTGATCATCAGAGGAGATGGCAAGATGATGATCAGAGGAGATGGTAAGATGATGATCAGAGGAGATGGTAAGATGATCAGAGGAGATGGTAAGATGATCAGAGAAGATGGTAAGATGATCAGAGGAGATGGTAAGGTGATCATCAGAGGAGATGGTAAGATGATGAACAGAGGAGATGGTAAGATGATCAGAGGAGATGGTAAGATGATGATCAGAGGAGATGGTAAGATGATGATCAGAGGAGATGGCAAGATGATGATCAGAGGAGATGGTAAGATGATGATCAGAGGAGATGGTAAGATGATCAGAGGAGATGGTAAGATGATCAGAGGAGATGGTAAGATGATCAGAGGAGATGGTAAGATGATCAGAGGAGATGGTAAGATGATCAGAGGAGATGGTAAGATGATGATCAGAGGAGATGGTAAGATGATCATCAGAGGAGATGGTAAGATGATGAACAGAGGAGATGGTAAGATGATCAGAGGAGATGGTAAGATGATCAGAGGAGATGGTAAGATGATGATCAGAGGAGATGGTAAGATGATGATCAGAGGAGATGGTAAGATAGATGATGATCAGAGGAGATGGTAAGATGATATCAGAGGAGATGGTAAGATGATGATCAGAGGAGATGGTAAGATGATGATCAGAGGAGATGGTAAGATGATGATCAGAGGAGATGATAAGATGATGAACAGAGGAGATGGTAAGATGATCAGAGGAGATGGTAAGATGATCAGAGGAGATGGTAAGATGGTCAGAGGAGATGGTAAGATGATCAGAGGAGATGGTAAGATGATCAGAGGAGATGGTAAGATGATCAGAGGAGATGGTAAGATGGTCAGAGGAGATGGTAAGATGATCAGAGGAGATGGTAAGATGGTGATCAGAGGAGATGGTAAGATGGTCAGAGAAGATGGTAAGATGGTCAGAGGAGATGGTAAGATGATCAGAGGAGATGGTAAGATGATCAGAGGAGATGGTAAGATGGTGATCAGAGGAGATGGTAAGATGATCAGAGGAGATGGTAAGATGATCATCAGAAAAGATGATAAGATGAACAGAGGAGATGGTAAGATGATGATCAGAGAAGATTGTAAGATGATCAGAGGAGATGGTAAGATGATCAGAGGAGATGGTAAGATGATGATCAGAGAAGATGGTAAGATGATATCAGAGGAGATGGTAAAATGCTGGACCACTTTTGTGTGTGTATATAAAAAGAAAATAATGAAAGACTCAAAGCAGATAATAAGACTTGGATATATACTAGGATTAATTGATGCATAAGTGTAAAGATATCTACTAACCTCATCCTCCGGAATAAACTCGCCTTCACTGTGAATGGACCCACACGAGACACTGTGGTTATAATTATGAGGTAATGACCCTGGTGGAGGACTAGGAGACTCACGGTATGACTGGAACAGAATAAATATTTACAATAAGTAAAACAAAACTAAAAGTTCAATAAATATTTACAATAAGTAAAACAAAACTAAAAGTTCAATAAATATTTACAATAAGTAAAACAAAACTAAAAGTTCAATAAATATACAATAAGCAAAAAAAAAAAAAAAATTTACAAATAGTAAAACAAAATAAACAATAGTTCAGTAAATTTTCAATTAGCAAAACAAAACTAAAGTTAAATAAATATTTACAATAAGTAAAACAAAACTAAAAGTTCAATAAATATACAATAAGCAAAAAAAAAAAAATTTACAAATAGTAAAACAAAATAAACAATAGTTCAGTAAATTTTCAATTAGCAAAACAAAAATAAAGTTGAATAAATATTTACAATTAGTAAAAAAAAACTAAAAGTTAAATATTTACAATTAGTAAAATAAAGCTAAAAGTTGCAACTTAGTCAGGAGGACATTTTGTCATAAATTAAAGAGATTATCGTCCAAATGAGAATCTATAGCATTTTTTTGGCTGTGTACATACCTGTGATCCGTAGGCACTATCGGCAACTGAAGGTGGCCCATACCTGGAGGACATAGTATCACGGTTGTCAGGGGATGTGGGCATAGTAAGGAAGATACGAAGACTTGTGATCTTGTTGTTCTGGTCGACTAGGCTGATGGCAGTCTCTAGGTCAGTCTGCTTTTGGATTGGTACTCGCATCTACAGAACAGATAAAAATGGACTCCAATCATCACTTGAAACTATACAGTACAATTTCGGTATTTCTCACTTCCTAATACCCATTTTTTTCTGGAAGGCATCCATATACACCATGAAAGCAACTCCAACATTCTAATTTCTACTAGTCTTTCTAGATGGCATTCATATTTTTATAAATGCCAACAGTAAACTACAAACCAAGTTTTTCCCTGTTATTAATGTCAAGTTTCTAAAACAATAAGAACATACCTCCCCATTGGCCTGTGTGAAGAACATGTTCATGTCCATACTGTGCATCTCCCGCACTTTACATCGCAGGTTATCATAGGTCACCGGGCGAGCCATGTAAATACTCCTGGAAGACAGAGAAACATGGACACACAATTAACTCATTTACCTCAGTAATACAAAAAGATTTAAACACGGAAAACAACATGAATATTTTCAAAGAAAAAATAACACATTTTGTGACCAACCACTGCATAGCACAGATATAAGTAGATGCTTGAAACATAACTTAAAGTGCAATAACGAAGGGATTGGAAAAAAATTATTGTGGGGCTCCTCAATCATGGCAAGATGTCAGTGATGGTGAGTGAGCCACTGATTCAAAGTAGTCCTTACTAAAACATACTGTTAATTCTTTTATAATGTATTCTTTTTTGTCTTACAAAGTTTTAAGATTTTTTTCTACATATTAAACAAATTTTAACATTTAAAGATATGTTAAATGCATACATATATATGTACAGTATTCTGTAGTTACGGTATTCTGTAGTTAAGTACAGCTGAGTCACATAACTAGTATTTGACCTTTTAGTAAAGTGCAGTATCTTCAAAGGTCATTCAATGCTTAAGGTCATTTTCTCAATTTGCATATGAATGTGTCAATCATATTATTCAAGATCCTGACCAATGTACATGGAACTCATTTTAATTCCACACCAGAGAATGTGATACTGAAAATGTGCATATTTTAATGATAATCTTGTTCGAGGGCTTTTCACATTGTGGATGCTCAGTTTTATTATTGTGCTAATTTGCCAGAAAGTGATACAATACTAAAATTTTATTTTTATTTGGTTTGCAATAGATTTTACTCCTACTGGTATTTGTCTCATATACTTTGTTTTAATTTCCTAAATATAGATACAACCTATTTACCATCAGACCAGCAAATTCTGACACAAAGTTGAGGGGTAAGCTTATTAAAGGTATAACTATATTGAATAGCATCACATATGGGTGGGCTTATTACGAGGCATGGACTTACTTGGGATAAACCCAGTATATAACATACATAAACATAAAGGTAAATTTTCCTTGTTCCCATTCATATAATGTGTATATTCCTGTAGAGACACAAGATAAGTCATTGCCTAAATATGTCGTCTACATAAAGGAATTCATCACCAATAACATCCGAATAAGAGGATCTGTCTAAAACGAGTTCTGGTATTAGAAATACCTGCTTAAATGTATGCAGGCATTGAGTTAATCAGAATCAAGACAGGTTTTAGACAAAACCTGCTAAAAATATTTCAAAATAATTGCTATGTACAGACATCAACATGGTGCATAGTAGTTAGGCTAATGATGTAGCTAGAACAAATCTTTGGGATTGAAGTCACTGAATTTTATATGTGAAGTCAAATTCCACATAAAAATTCAAATGCATAGTACCACCTGCTCTGGTTCAGGTTGTGTGTGTTCATCAGGTTTGGTTGATAAATCATTATATCTACCTCTTCTAGGGTTTATAATTGTGTAATGAGATCACTTACACTATAATTGATAATAAAGTGGTACTTCAAATATTTTTGTCGCTTGATTATTCCAATGGAAAATTTTAAAACGAAGAAAATATCCCAATCGTATGTTCCATCACGTCGGGTGTCAAGTAGTTCCGCAAATGTTTGAGAAATCCTAGTAACCATGTTATTTGTGAATGTGACCTCAATACAGAACTGTCAACATTTGAACAAGGGATCACTACCACCCACCCACACTGTGACAAGTGATGTGCACGGCTGTCTACATTCCTGTTCCTACTGTTGGCCATGCACATATCATCACAGTCCAGTAACACACAATACATTAACACACCAATCTTGCATATTGGTCAATAAAAACTGAATTATACTCTCACACATCTGTGCTTCTAACAAATTTTAATTTTCTGATGTAAACAAAGTTTCAACCCACTTCTGAAGTGTTTTCTTCCTAATATGAATTTATCTATTCTGTATCAAAATTATCATTGACAGACTTCAACCAACAAATTTTACCCTTGTATACTGCATGATGTGATGAATTTTTTTCAACTTCCCAAAAAAATTAAGCAATCTCCGTATGGACAGATAGAATGATTATCCAGACCTAAATAATGACTGTGAATATTTCAAAATAACTCAGCTGATCCCCTGAGTTTTTAAAGAATTAATAAAGGAGAGTGTGGTGTCACCAAATACACACATGATTGTACATGAATCAATGTTTTTAATTATGGTTACAAATAAAAGAATACATACTAAGAAATTAAAGCTATTTTCCCCTCATCCCACATACCCCATCAAAATCTAAAATTCCCTCATCCCACATACCCCATAAAAATCTAAAATTCCCTTATCCCACATACCCCATCAAAATCTAAAATTCCCTCATCCCTCATACCCCATCAAAATCTAAAATCCCCTTATCCCACATACCCCATAAAAATCTAAAATTCCCTCATCCCTCATACCCCATCAAAATCTAAAATTCCCTCATCCCACATACCCCATCAAAATCTAAAATTCCCTCATCCCTCATACCCCATCAAAATCTAAAATTCCCTCATCCCTCATACCCCATCGAAATCTAAAATTCCCTTATCCCACATACCCCATCAAAATCTTAAATTCCCTCATCCTTCATACCCCATCAAAATCTAAAATTCCCTCATCCTCATACCCCATCAAAATCTAAAATTCCCTCATCCTTTATACCCCATCAAAATCTAAAATCCCCTCATCCCACATACCCCATCAAAATCTAAAATCCCCTTATCCCACATACCCCATCAAAATCTAAAATTCCCTTATCCCTCATACCCCATCAAAATCTAAAATCCCCTCATCCCACATACCCCATCAAAATCTAAAATCCCCTCATCCCACATACCCCATCTAAAATCTAAAATTCCCTCATCCCTCATACCCCATCAAAATCTAAAATCCCCTCATCCCACATACCCCATCAAAATCTAAAATCCCCTCATCCAACATACCCCATCAAAATCTAAAATTCCCTTATCCCACATACCCCATCAAAATCTAAAATTCCCTCATCCCCATCCTAAAAATTCCCTTAAAATTCCCTCATCCCTCATACCCCATCGAAATCTAAAATTCCCTTATCCCACATACCCCATCAAAATCTAAAATCCCCTCATCCCACATACCCCATCAAAATCTAAAATCCCCTTATCCCACATACCCCATCAAAATCTAAAATTCCCTTATCCCACATACCCCATCGAAATCTAAAATCCCCTCATCCCACATACCCCATCAAAATCTAAAATTCCCTCATCCCACATACCCCATAAAAATCTAAAATTCCCTTATCCCACATACCCCATCAAAATCTAAAATTCCCTCAACCCACATACCCCATCAAAATCTAAAATCCCCTTATCCCACATACCCCATAAAAAAAATCCCTAACAATTCCCTCATCCCTCATACCCCATCAAAATCTAAAATTCCCTCATCCCACATACCCCATCAAAATCTAAAATCCCCTCATCCCACATACCCCATCAAAATCTAAAATTCCCTCATCCCTCATACCCCATCGAAATCTAAAAATCCCTTATCCCACATACCCCATCAAAATCTAAAATTCCCTCATCCTTCATACCCCATCAAAATCTAAAATTCCCTCATCCCACAAACCCCATCAAAATCTAAAATTCCCTCATCCTTTATACCCCATCAAAATCTAAAATCCCCTCATCCCACATACCCCATCAAAATCTAAAATCCCCTTATCCCACATACCCCATCAAAATCTAAAATTCCCTTATCCCTCATACCCCATCAAAATCTAAAATCCCCTCCTTTATCCCACATACCCCATCAAAATCTAAAATCCCCTCATCCCACATACCCCATCAAAATCTAAAATTCCCTCATCCCTCATACCCCATCAAAATCTAAAATCCCCTCATCCCACATACCCCATCAAAATCTAAAATCCCCTCATCCAACATACCCCATCAAAATCTAAAATTCCCTTATCCCACATACCCCATCAAAATCTTAAATTCCCTCATACCCCATCGAAATCTAAAATTCCCTTATCCCACATACCCCATCAAAATCTAAAATTCCCTCATCCCTCATACCCCATCGAAATCTAAAATTCCCTTATCCCACATACCCCATCAAAATCTAAAATTCCCTCATCCCTCATACCCCATCGAAATCTAAAATTCCCTTATCCCACATACCCCATCAAAATCTAAAATTCCCTCATCCCTCATACCCCATCGAAATCTAAAATTCCCTCATCCCACATACCCCATCAAAATCTAAAATTCCCTCATCCCTCATACCCCATCAAAATCTAAAATTCCCTCATCCCTCATACCCCATCAAAATCTAAAATTCCCTCATCCCTCACACCCCATCAAAATCTAAAATTCCCTCATCCCTCATACCCCATCAAAATCTAAAATTCCCTCATCCCTCATACCCCATTAAAATCTAAAATTCCCTCATCCCACATACCCCATCAAAATCTAAAATTCCCTCATCCCTCATACCCCATCAAAATCTAAAATTCCCTCATCCCTCATACCCCATCAAAATCTAAAATTCCCTTATCCCACATACCCCATCAAAATCTAAAATTCCCTCATCCCTCATACCCCATCAAAATCTAAGTCAACAACTTCAGCTGCAGATTGAATTACATTCGATTGAATTAGGATACTCTTAATTTCAGTGCAGAATCATTTTTTGGCAAATTATTATAATGAGGAATTTGTACATCAACAATAAGCAACATATGGAAAGTGCAATAAATGCTAATGTTTTTGTCCAATACTTTCAACATGGAAATCACTAAAATAAGATAACCACTAAAAGATGTACATTTACAGAACATAATGAAATATAAATTATCATGTGAATAATTATTAATAAAAAACTAACAAAGCGGGAGAGAACGAACGTCTTGGCTGCCTTTTGTCATGGATTGGATCATGAAGGAATCAAAGATGGACACCCAATGGCATTCAATAGAACCCAATGGTATTCAATAGAACCCAGCAGTATTCAATAGAACCCAGTGGTATTCAATAGAACTCAGTGGTATTCAATAGAACTCAGTGGTATTCAATAGAACCCAATAGTATTCAATAGAACTCAGTGGTATTCAATAGAACCCAACAGTATTCAATAGAACCCAGCGGTATCCAATAGGACTCAGTGGTATTCAATAGAACTCAGTGGTATTCAATAGAACTCAGTGGTATTCAATAGAAATCAGTGGTATTCAACAGAACCACATCAAGGGAGGTAACTACAAATGACACAGAAGATGGAACATCATCGTCTGAATTCTGTGGTTTTGTTATAAGATGACATGTTTAGGCTAGCTAGGATATGTTTCAGTTGGTCTAGGTAGCCGTAACACATCAACTTATAATAAAACTACAGAATCCAGACGTTGATGCTCTATCACCTGTCATTTATGTGAATAATAGTTTCACTTTCTTTCAACGTTTATAAAACAACAGATAACCTATATGAAAAATCATTTTCTGATGACAAGTTTCATAAAATGTGTCTGAAACTGAAGTGAATTAATTTTTCATTAAGAACATGATCAAAGCTTTGCAAGTATTGTAGAATATACATGTGATTCTTGAAGCCATCATGGCTATGATATCTAAATGACACATCATAGCAGGTAGTCATGTGAAAACTTGTACTACTTTAAAAAGAATCTATGATTAAACTGATATTAAATACTAGAAAAACAGTGTAAAAACATTAAAAAGCACATGTAAATACATCTAAGAATTCACTTTACATCTAGTGACTACTGACGCCATAGGGGAATTTACAGACTTGCGGGGGTGTTCGTCAAGAGTAAACAATCGAAACTTCTAACAGAAAATTATAGATATGTACTTCAAACACATTTTTTAGGTATTTAATTGTACTTGAGATATTACTAATACTTTTGTAGTCCGTCTGAGATCATTTTCTAATCATAAAATGCACTACTTGAAACCAGAGGACGCTAATAAGAGAAATATATATGTAAATATAGCAGAGACCAAATCTCTTGAAAAGCTCTGTCAGCTAAAGAGAAATATATCTCAATTCTCCCCTCATACTTTCTTCCCTACCAGAAATCAAATGGATAATGACACAAAAATTAATTTGGTTCTTAATGCAATTAAAATTTTACAAAAAAATATTTTTCAAATTTTCAGTGCTCATTTGATCAGTATTTGACTAAGTCGACATGCTGATAAACTGAAGGAGACATGCGAGTGATTTCCTTCACCATATTTCGTTTAAGTCCCATCAGCATCGCCCATTTCTATTTATAAACACTCCTACTACATACTTCAACATCACTTTTAGTGTTTCAAGTTGTTCAACAATTTTCTAAATTTGTACAGTAACCTTCAGACCACGAGCATCAGCTACAGATCTGATGACATCAGACATTATATACCGTATTTGTCAGACAAAATTTAAAGCTCTCGTGTGATCAATTTTTTAATTTTCAATTTATTTCGTGCTATTGTTTATCAATAAATCAGGATGTCTCAAAAATGATTTAAAATGTACATTAACTTTAGTTAGTGAATTTCATTAGTTCTTAATTTACTGATGAAATCATGTTTCAAACAGCAATTTTTGGAAAACATATAATATACTATCCCCATCTTCTATAGAACACCAGTTAAACCTTCTCACCACTCTTAACCTCCTGACTTCATCAACACAAGCATTTCAATCAGAATACAATCTTTAAATTGCAAAATCTGGTCTCGGGTAATACAGCCTTCACCATGGTTGTTAGTATGGTGGATGAACAAGTCTTTCAATTTATGCCTGTATATGCAGAGAAATGATAAACTAGCTCAAATGATTAGCCACAGCAATAGGCTTCTTCAGGACAACACTACTGAAATATTGTCCAGAAGCCCAATACTGTGGGTGAAACCAGTAGATATAAAGCCTTATAATTAAACCTGCTCCAGTCTGTTGTGACCCAATACTGTGGGTGAAGCCAGTAGATATACAGCCTTATAATTAAACCTGCTCCAGCCTGTTGTGACCCAATACTGTGGGTGAAACCAGTAGTTATCATGTTTACAACTGATCACACCAGCCTGGGTGATATCACCCCACACCCCCCTGAAGTGATATCACACCCCTCTCGATTTTTTATATTTTTCCATTCTAACTTATTGGTGTCAGATTTTAACATCAATATTGTTGGCCTGGATGAAATTTGTTTTTTGTTTATGAAAAATAATTTAGAATCCCGCTGTAATTTCTGGATGGTGACGTTTTTTTTCATTGGTTTGTCTTCTTTGTGATACACCCGAAACTGCCGTCTGCAAACGTGAACAACTAATCATCGCGACTAGGGATAATGATGGTGAGGCAACTTTAGAAGAACTCCCAGCAAGAATTGTCGAGTTGTATGAGTTAAAGAAAAAAACATGACAAAAAGACTATTATATAACCATTTTCATATCACACCCTTAATCAGCCCTCGAGTTCTGATATCAGCCCTCAGGCCGAAGCGGTGTGATATCAAAATAGTCTTATAATAATCTCAAAATATACTACCTTGTAATTAAACCTGCCTCTAGCCTGTTGCGACTGATTTGAATTATAAAATCTTATACAAATAATACACTTACTGACCCCTTCCTCCCTCTCATAACAGCTAGAACTTGAATCACTTTTGAATCCTACACAAAACTGAGTGTAATATATCGAGAACATAATACATGAATTTAAATTTATCAGAAATTAAATCTCTAAGGAACATTGAGAGATATTCTAAATGAAATCTGTGAACAATGGCACTTATTCTTTTACATTGAGCATATCCATCTGTCAAGCATCATATTTAAGATGAAGTATTAAATTAATGGCAGGTGACATCATTCTAAGAGATGCAGCCAATTCCATACTGACAGTTATATGTTTACCTAGACGAAATGAAATCGCTTCAAAATTTTAATTCTATATAAACCAACACACGGTTATATTTTTATATATCAAATTTATCTAACTTATTTAAAAAGAAACATATATGACTAAGACCATACTGCCATTTAAGTCACCTTGAACCAAAGTCATTTACCTAAATTAATGAGATACACATTTGTATCATTTTAAAGAGCACATGATTTTAATCAGAGGTTACGGTATGCTTGTAGAATTAGTATTTATGCAGAAAAAACGAGTGTAGGTTTTATCATGGATTTTGATCTTGAAAGACAAATATTCAGCTAGGTGAAATGTTACCAAAAATATCAAAAGGAAGTGAACTTAATTTTATTCAGTAACTATTTCCCACCTTTTCTCTCCATTATATTCCAATTTGATCCTCAGAGTCTGATCTCGTCTCTGCAATGAAAAGAATTTTAGAATGTATAAACTTTCTTGCATTCTTTGGGGAAATATATAGTATTTAATTTATCTGCTTCACATCAAGGACATTATCAAATTACCACATTTCTAAATTTATGTAGTCATTATCAAGATACAAATGAATAAGTATTCCACATAATTATTACAAGTATTATTATCTATACAAAAATAAAGTAAATTCTTAAATTGCCAATGGTTCATTAAAAGAATTTAGAATATTATTACCATCAAAATGAAACAAATATTTTCAAAGGGAGAATTAAATCGAATGAAAGATAAAAAGATGAGTATTTGACTAGGGGAACTAACTCTAATGAAAGATGAATATTTTGACGAAGGGAAGTAAATTTAATGAAGATAAATATTTGAAAAGAGTAAGTAAATATAATGGAAGATTATTATTTGAAGGGGGCTGGGGAGACTTAAATGAAAACGAATATCTCCACAATGGGAAGTAACTCTAATGAAAGGTAGATGTTTGACAGGGGGAAAACTTCAATAAAGATTGATATCTTGACAATGAGCGTAACTTTAATGAAAGATGAATATTTGATGAGGGAAATAACTGAAATAACTCTAAAGAAATAGGAATATCTTGACAAAGGGAAGTAATTCTAAAGAAAGGTAGATGTATGTTAGGAGGAAAAAACTTCAAAATGATTGATATCTCGACATTGAAAATAACTCTAATGAAAGATGTAACCTTCATTACAATATAATTAAAGCATTGATGGCCTTCAAACTAAGAATAATTTGATAATTGACCAATCCATTAGAAAGATGAAAAAGACGACCAGGAAGTAAACAAACACCATTTCAATAGCAAGAAATTCAATATCTGCAATTTGATAATTAAATCAGATAACTAGAAGTAAACACAAGAAAATTGTACTTTATTCTGACGGTTATTGTTTCTAGACTATTTTGGAATATAGGTTGGGGTTCCCGCGAGGAGGAGTGAGTTTTATCTTATGAATTTACCTTGAGGTTGGCTATAGCAGCTTTTTGGGCATTGGGGTTTCCCATTCGGAGCCCCCTCTCCAGCTGGGACTGGATGTTTCCCATGACATCCTTGAGTGCCTGGGGATTTCCATCTGAACGAAACAAAATGTCAGAATTAATCAAATTTTTCAAGGTAATGAAAGATGTTCAATTCATATCATTTACAAACCTATAAGTAATACAGATAATGAAAAAAGACTTTTACTGGTGATGTAATTTGGCTTTCTGTAACACAAATACAGTTGACAAGACTTCCTCGGAACTGTATGTGTCGCCTGCATAAAGTGTCAAGGTCACCCAGAAATCGAACTGGATGTGCAACGTTTATCCATAAAGTTGTAATACCAAATTTCATTTCTATAACTCAAAGCATAACCCTAAAAAGTCTGGAAAACAATAATTCCAGAGAATTTTCTAAGTTCAAAGGGGCATTACTCTGCCAAGAAGAATCACAGACAGCCGGAAATCGAAATTAATCTGTACCCTTCCAACAAGAAGCCATCTACTAAAATTCATTGTGATAACTCAATGCATAACCGATAAAATTCCGGAAAACTTTCGTATGGACGACACCGACAATGACGCATGACGACGGACAAAGTGATCCCTAAGTGTACACCAGCTCTGCAGGCAACACAATAAATCATTACTTCGGGTATTTTTTCTGGCTCAAGACCATTTCATCAAACAAATAATATCTTTATTCCTTACATAAACGATACTCTCAACCATATGAAATAATTGTTGAATTAAGAGTATTTATGCTGATTTAAAAACAGGTACCGGGGTATGTTTGTTATTGGTACATTCACAGGGAAGCTGTAGAAATCAATATCTATTTTGTTTCCTTTATTTTTGATTGCCTAGAGTAACAGTTACTTATTAATTCAAAAAAATCTCTTCAAGATTCTTAATCTTGTTGATTAAAATCAAATTACAAGAGCTATATTCTGCAGTCAAACAACACTTTTATCATATCCTAACCATACTTTAAATATACTATATATTCATGGTCAATTTCCGCCTTTGTATAAAAACATTTCCCTTCCATACACAAAGGAGGTAGTCAGGCTGGAATGAATGTGGAAGTTTCATGTTTACCCAGATACACAGGTAGATATATCGTTACCTGTACAGGTAGATTTCCTACATACTCATTATCAATACTAGATCTCGTCACAACAATATGTTAAGGTCTTAATAGTGAATTCCTTTCACCAGAAAGAAAACATGTAAGACATTGGAAACAATGACGGCTTGTATTGGAGTGTAAATAGAACATGTTTAGACAATCTACATATCAAGTCCTAGCAGCAGAGTTTTATGTATAATGTATTACATCTAGGGTTAACTGTATGGCGTGATCTTGCCATGATGTTCCTATTGCTAGAACAACATAACCACAAGTAATTTACCCTTTAATCACAAAAAGGCCAGTATCTCAGTGAAGTTTTCATTTCACATATAATACATTTGATTTTTTTTTTTTTTTATTTTTTAAAGATAGACTTTCAAAATGAAATTTATGTTTTTTATAATTCTAACAGGGTAACAAAATTTACAATTAAGATCCTTGCTCTCTTATAATAGAGATGACATCCAAAAATGTGAGATTATTTATTTTCACTGGAGTGAAAATTGGAAAGTGATTACAACAAAGATAATGGATGTGTAAACTCTAATTAGATGTTAATTTCATGCCTTCATTTAATTGATTACAGGTAAAAATTAGAATTTTGTTGTCGTTTGCTTATTGATTTGTTGCTTTAATCAGCCCTTCCTTATTCCTGAGAGGCTAAAAGTACAGTCTACGGTAATAAATCAAGACATTTAACAGAGATATACAGTTTACTATCACTGATAGACACAGAAGAGCAAAACACTTGGGAATTTGATAAAATCCATGTTTGCTGTTGAACATGTTTGTTGCTAAACAGGATGTTTAGATTATCTAAAAGCATGGTTAGCCATGTAATATTCCTTGATTTTTATTTGCCACTTAATATTCTCAGACTTTTATATGCCACATTCTATTCTAAGACTTTTGTTTGCCACATGATATTCCCAGACTTTATTTGCCACTCAATATTCTAAGACTTTTGTTTGCCACATAATATTCTAAGACTTTTGTTTGTCACATAATATTCCCAGACTTTTGTTTGCCAAATAATATTCCCAGACTTTATTTGCCACTTAATATTCCCAGACTTTTGTTTGCTATATAATATTCTAAGACTTTTGTTTGCCATATAATATTCTAAGACTTTTGTTTGCCACATAATATTCCCAGACTTTATTTGCCACTTAATATTCTAAGACTTTTGTTTGCCACATAATATTCCCAGCCTTTTGTTTGCCGTATAATATTCTAAGACTTTGGGTAAAAGCATGTGCCCAGGTGTACACACTGGCCATATCAATATTCCCGTTTGCTGGCCCTACCCTCCCCCACTCCCACGATCCCCTGCCAGTCCTTTTGTTTACACATAATATTCTAAGACTTTTTGTTTGCCACATAATATTCCCAGACTTTATTTGCCACTTAATATTCTAAGACTTTTGTTTGCCATATAATATTCTAAGACTTTTTGTTTGCCACATAATATTCCCAGACTTTATTTGCCACTTAATATTCTAAGACTTTTGTTTGCCACATAATATTCCCAGACTTTTTGTTTGCCACATAATATTCCCAGACTTTATTTGCCACTTAATATTCTAAGACTTTTGTTTGCCACATAATATTCCCAGACTTTTGTTTGCCACATAATATTCCAAGACTTTATTTGCCATATAATATTCCCAGACTTTATTTGCCACTTAATATTCTAAGACTTTTGTTTGCCATGTAATATTCTAAGACTTTGGGTAAAAGCATGTGCCCAGGTGTACACACTGGCCATATCAATATTCCTGTTTGCTGGCCCTACCCTCCCCCACTCCCACGATCCCCTGCCAGTCCTTTTGTTTACACATTCCAATCTGTTTGCCAGGTGGTCTTTTTACAAGAGATAAATACTTCATATATTAAAAAAAAACACTTCCTTGAGGCAGTAGCACTGAACATACTGCCCTCAACTGCAGACAATACCAGATTCCATTATATCTTAACAATGTATACTAACACTACCAAAGACCTTTATTGAACCCAATTCCTCATTGCACTTTATACAGTTTTCCAAAATCATTACCAAGGCACAAAATTTTCATTGTGCAACATACTATAAACAATTACATCCTGAGCCCATGACTACAGAGATTATCCTCTAATGATACAAAGACTGTAACACACTACATATTAGAATGATGGATTCTCTAAGTTAAACATGTCTGAAACCAAACAATTTGATTGTAGATTCAGAAAAGAGTTTTGTTTTAACTTGCTTTTTATAACGAGACTGAAGAGAATTCCAGATAAGAGAAAAGTTGGTCAAGGGACATTTCATTGTACATCTATATAAGACATTACATTATTTATTTAGCCATGCTATGTGCTAGACAGCTGCTACAGCTGCATGTAGTTTCATTACAATTTAAGTGATAAAGATACAGTGATAAAAATTAAGATTTTCTTTTGCAATTTTTTATGTCCCTAATTTGAGATGAGGCTTATTTTTTTATAGAGAGTACTACATCTAAGAACCAACAAAGATGGCTGATTAATACAAGTAGTCCTCATTAATATATTCAAGATATATAATATATTGAATCTATAAATATACCCAATGGGTTCACTTGAAGATCCAATCTGTGAATCAGCTGTAGAGTGCCATTAAGCTAACATGGTTCGTTACTCAATACTCTCCCATCAGTCTCCATCCATGTGCTCACGTGAGAGATATGTGGGAAAACCAGAATCCAAATTTTACCCATTTTTCTATAATAGACCCTTCCAAGTTTTGATCTGGACCAGTTCACGGAAGAAAATGGTGATGAAAGGAGTGAGGAGAGAGCACCAACATGACCTAATGGGCATATATCCAGGCTCTGTAGAAGTATCTCTTTATCCTCTACAAAACCCAGCAGGAGAAATCACGTTCATATTGACATGCTTTTCCTCCAGGCGTGGAAATTTTTCAAACATTTAGTAAAACCCTACAAAATTGATGTGATTTGCTCTGTAGTGAAATAAAATTATCAGCAAAGAGAAAATTACATATCAGTTCATGATAAAATATCATATCTTAAAAATATGTTTTTAGATAAAGTGCACACACACAAACACATATATATATATATATCATGGCTCATTAGCACTGAAATCTCACCATTAACCTATTTCAATTTGCATAAATGAAAACTTATATGATTTTATGATGTTCTAATACTGCTAAATTATCTAGGCATTCAGCATAGTCATTTTCAATCTGGGATAGAAACTACCTCAAAACCTAGGTCGACCTCACCCCACGTGCACAGAAACAATTTCCGTTCTTTCTTTTTATTCCACTCTGCTACTTCTATTTTCTCTTAACCCCCCACCCCCTCAAATGGTCTAAACTTCCATCAAAGCTAACTCATCCTGAGCTTTTACTTGTGGGAGCAAACCCACATGGTTGGGCATGTGACCCCATACCTTTTCGCATACATTCTGGGAATCGAACCCTGGATGCCTTGGTGGAAGACGAGTGTTACAACTGCAACATCTCACCAAATAAACATGTCACCCCTTTCAAGCTAACACGGATGTATTTCCTGTCTTTGTAATAGGGTGGGTGTTCAAGAAAAAAACTGATGTTGTTTTACATGTATATCGTTAAAATTATTGGTAAGTTTTGGTAGATGTGGTATAGACAAGTAAATATACTAAATATAACAATTACTATCCAGTATAATTCTTCATCATAATTGGCTGATATAAACACAGAAGAAAGATGTGAGCAGATCCTAAAATATTCATCATATTTTGTACATATTTGATGAACACATGTTTTGTTTTATCCTTTACTGTATATCTACAGAACATTGTACAGTTACTAATAACCCTAAAAAAAGGTAATAATACTTCAGGTGGAGTTGGACAGGGTTCCAAGTTCGGACATGTCATGATTAAATATTCTGGCCATGGACCTTCAGGTCAAGGTCACAGTAT